GTTAGCCGTGGAAGCCACGCCGAGAACCTGTGAACAAATATTTGAATGTTGTGAAGCAGTTCCTTTTCGAGTATGTGATATGAATACAATTTATAAGCATTTTAAATTATAATGTAATTTGTGGTTGTCTGTATTTTAATCTTTAAAATACTGGTGTATAAGATTGTGTACTTGTGTAAGTTGAGGGTGTTTGAGAACGAAATTTTCAGGACGGTTTGTGGATCTGAAAGAAATGAACCGAGAAAGAACGAAGTAATGAAAAGCTTTATAATTTGTACACTCCACCTATACATGTTAAAGCTACGAAAGTGAGAAAAATGCAATAGACGTAACGTATAGACCGCAGTGGGAAAATGAAAAATAGGTATGTAATTTTGGTCAGACAACTTCAAGGAAAGAGAAAACTTGTGATAGTTTTTAGTAAATTGGTGAATGAGACAATAAAGGCTATGTATTGAACAGCTGAATAACCAGTCAAGACACTGTACCAGTGAAGTTAGTATTCATTTTAGGTTGGAGTCTTTAAGTTAATGCGCAATTTAAATAAATTTACGGTAGACTGTAGGTTAGGGGTATGGATTATGGATCTTTTATAGAAGTAGAATCAATTAAGGAATGCGCATTAAAGGGTGTAATATATACGATGGAGAAAGAAACGGTGGAGTCATTCTCCACCCTTTTAAATTTGTGTGCGACAGTCTGAATAAATGTGCAATCGTCGTATAATAATGGAATCAGTCATCCCTGTATTCTGAAACAAAGCCTCACTTATCTTTTATTGTATACTTACAAAATTTTACCCCCTCAAGATGACACCGTACCATGGCATGCTCTCCTTAAGTGTGTCGTGAGACCTGTAAATGCTTTCGTTGTGTCTGAGTTGGAAGGCAGTTAGCTTTGGCTTTGCCCTCATTAGCAGTATAACAGTTTTCTTTTTACTCTGAAGCTGTATTCCCAGCGTTCGCATATGTTTGTCCTTATTCTTATGAACATTATTTCGTCAGAAGCTGGTAGATAATTTGGCAAGGCAACAAATATTTACGCAGGATCCTTTGGTCTTTCGATTCTGAGACCTTTGGCATGAGACAGGAGCGCATAACTCCAAGATTAACAATTCATCTGACGAAATACAAACAAAGTAGTTGGAAGGCTGATTTATGTTTTTATTTATATACATTCGAAGGACTAAATCAAAGCAATTACCAGTATAACCTTGATGATAAAAACCGCTTTAAATAAAAAAAACAAGTGGCATTTCAAAGTATTATCTACAGGTTAGTACCTAATTATAGAGCCTTGTGACTAAATTGCAACAAAATTTGTTTCAGAAGAAGTAACAACTTTAACAAACATACTGGCAGTAATATCCTAGACAGAACCTGTAGTTTCAACACCGCTAATATCGACGTCCGTGCTGGACACAAACCTCAGTCCGTTACATTAATCTCCGAACCACAGTACCCGTGTCTTGAAGGCGTATTCTAATATTCTTCCTTCTCATTTCTGGCCTTTCAAGCAGTTGCTTTTCAGGGAGTTTCTGCCAAACGTTCTTTTGCATTATCTCGTTATGTAATATTTTGAATTATCGACTTTATCCCTGTAAATTAAAAAAAATACAACTTTTGTTGTTGTTCTTAGTTTACATTTTGAAACACGCTGAAAATATTTGTATGATCGTAAAGCCAGGCACGGTCAATTAACATCCTTACCGTTTTAGCATTCTAACCACCTAAATATACGCTATATGACACGAATCTGCCAAAGCGTTGTTAAATACAAGAAGACGAAAAGGTCTTCTCGGGCGGCCAACTACGTTTCCAGAATTTCGGCGACTGTCTGTGTCTCCATCATCAGGGGTAGAGACAAAGAAATAGTTCCTAGCAAACATTTTCTTGACTTTCGGTGACCTGTGGTTTTGGAAATCGTTGTAAAATGGATGGAGACAAAGATGTATTCTTCGGCGATCAGTCGTGTGCGTATTGAAATATTTTTAACGTTACGGAGACTGCCTCTGCCTCCATCGTCAGGGGTTGAGACCGCAAGAAGCAGCCCTCTCAAAAATTCTCTTGATTTGCAGGTTGGGCGACGAGTATGGCAGAGTCGCGAGAAGCTGACGCTGATGCCGAGGCATCTGCAGCGGAATCCGAGGTCCCGGGAGCTGGAGCTGAGGAGGCTTCTGGCGAAGTGGTGGACAGTGCAGCAAGTACGGCGTCCACCTCCGTCGGGGCAGCCACGCCCTCCAGCAAAGTTCAGCAGCAGCAACATCATTTGACGAGGTAGGGTGCAACGTTTGAGCGGAGACTGGATGGACAGTGTGAATTTGATTCAATAGTTACATGGCATGTCCAGGCTAGGAACTAACTTCTGAACAGGTACCTGGATAGACAGTATGAATTTATCGTTCAGTTACATGGCCTGCCAAGGTAAGAAGCCAGATAGATATCTTAAACGGAGATTTGGATGCACAGTACACTATAATCATGTTCTATAACGTATTTCAGCAATAAGAATAGGTAGACAAATCTCATGGGATTTAACTTCCAGCGGTGCCATGCGTACGAGGTCGAAGTTTTTTTTTCCTTTTTTTTACAAGGACAAGGACAGTGTTGTTTTTGTTTGGACTAATTGTTAAATTTGATTTATAATAAGAATAATAATGACGATGACACTATCTTAATTCCTTTTAATCAGGGTGGTCCAACGTTATTCCCTCGGGCCAAGAATAGTTTTCCTGTTGGTTCCAAGGGCCAGTAAACTTCTTCTGGAATTATTCTTTAAAATTAATATAAAATTTTCGTTATCTTTAATAGTGCTTATTCAGAAATGGGAAGTTACCATTTTATATGCTCAGATATAAATTCTGTTATAATATAGACGTAAATTACAGGAGTTACATATTGTATATTTTCTCTTGTGGCAGATTGTATCTGACACAATTTTTATCTGGAAAACATAAATCTTACAGTTAGGGTTTGAAGTCAGTAGCATGTCTGACACTTTAACTTAAGGCAGCTTACGAAATAAGAATCATTATTTTTTTAAATCCTTCGGAGTAAATAAAATAAAGGAGCTCGTAGTAACAAATTAACAAATAATTTTGTGGGCCTAGTTACAAGTGATCTCGGGCTGGATGTGACCCACGGGCCATCAGTTGAACTTAGCTTCTTAAAATTATAATTTCCATGCTCGCTAAATGTAACATCTTCCTTCTGTTGCTGTAGCTTCTCGAATAAAAATTCTAACAAGCTACAGAGGTTGTTTAAAGGGTTTCCTCTTCTGTGTTGCCGTGGAATTAGAAATGAGTGTAGCTGGAGGGCATAAAATTCTTGTTTTGCAAAGCGTACAAGTGGATAAGTGCGTATAAGCAAAGAACGGCAAATCGTTCTGAATATGTTTAATTATATAAAGCAAAATTGCCGTGTGAAGTGGAAGTTGGATTGCAAATGAAACTGCTGAAGTTGTAGGCGTTTTGAGAGCTTCAGTTTGTCTAGAAAGGATAATGTCTGTGAAATTAATGCTACAAGGAAGAACGTATTTTCAGTTATTTGCCTGCTGGGCCTTGCGTTTAACTTATGATCTCTATTGTACTTTTAATTTTACAGTATTTTTATGTTACATCACTTTATGAGTATGATTAGTACTTCGGACAGGGCATAGCAGGGCTTATCACCTTTACCTTCAGTTTAGAGTCCTTACCCTGAAGATACAGGCAGTATTTTTCTCCGAAAGGTTAGCATCGAACTACAAGACTGCAGTGGCTAAATTTATCGGATCAGACCCAGTAGGTGTCACCCTCTGTACCTGATGGCGATGAAAAATCCATTCTTCTAAACGTCGTGATTTTAAGGCAATATAAAAGCTGTCAGCTAAACATGGAAAGGTCCGTAATTAAGGAATAAGTAATTCCATCGCCAAAGACATTAGATAACTACGTCTTTGCCACTGTGAGAACCTGAGGTCTCAGGTGTCTGTACGCGCCGTCTTCTATTGCTTACGTACTCTGGTATAACATTTGATTTTCCTGGCCTCCGCCTGCCTAGGTGCGATAGGGCGTCATTTCCAGTGTTACTGACGATGAAGATGGTTGAAAATTGTATGCTTTCACGTGCTAAATTCGTATTTGAGAAACCATATTCTGTTAGTATATTTTCTTAATAACGACCCAACAGCGACACAAAAGAACTTCTTTCTTGTCCAGCCTGTAGTTTAATTAATGAAATAGTTGAGGGGGGGACATAAAGAATACTGATCAATAGTAATTAATATTAAAGATCATGTCTTTAATTTTTCCGTGGAGGATTTTTTTGGTCACTCTGTAGTGATCGTTTTAACAGTCGTTACCGCAGTTGAATGTACTCTGACGACAGTCTTAAACCCAAGTAAACAAATTTGTTTCTTTACTAATCGGACCCCCAAAGTAGCGCCTCCCTCAACACAGCTATGAAATGCAAATACATGACTTCATTTTTCTAGTACGCTGAACTGAGTAATCGAAGTGAACGAATATCTGACATTGCTGCACGACAATTTAACTAACTAATTTAACGACTCCTTTTTCAGCTGCGCAGATTCTGTAGTGTCAAATGGTAATATGATTGTGTCTGACGAATCGGAAAGTGTGTGCTATTCCAGCATCTTCTTTAAGAGACTGAGGAAAACGAATTAAAAAGTAAATCACTTGTGTAGTTGTAGGTTAGATGGAAGGTGGTCATATCAAAGGAGGTGGTGGTGTCTGTTTTGAAACACTGCACCTGTATTCGTATGGAGAAACATTTAGTCCTGCCAAGATTCGAACCTAGTACCTTCCGAATACACGTCTAGAGCTGTATATGAACGTGACAAATACTGAAAGTTATGTAGCCGTCAGCAGAACAACTGTAAACATAAAGTAACATGTCGAGGCTCCAACATTTGACGACTTTAAAACACACTGTTAGGTACAGAACAGTGGCACACGATTAAACACTAGGTAACTGTGCTCTGGCGACAGAGTGTTTTATGTGTTTCGTATGATTCTCAGAATAAACAGCGATTTTCTTGCTAAGCTGCATTAAGTAACTGATCTTTGTAATGGAGACGTGTTGACTATTATTTGAGGTACGAACTGAATTTTTAAATGTTTAGAATTGTAGATGAAAGTAGTGTTTTAAACCGATAATGAAATTTATCATTTACAGTACTGGATTTTGGTGCATTTAACAAAGATTATATTTGTAAAGAAGACTTTAATAATTTTGAAGATTATTATAACAAAAATGTCGAAGAAGTCGGACATAAAAGATGTAGTTAGTAATGAGATGTTATCTTGTTACATAGGCGTACAGTTTATATATATATATATATATCGTAATACCAAATACCAAATGGATTTGATGAATATTCCTTTAGTTCAGTGAAATGCTCTTATTTATAATAACATTCATTCTGCTTATTTGATGTAGATTATCTGTTTGTTACAATAATGGAACAAGTGAAATTTAATAATGAATTAAATACAGCGTCATTATCCTGTCTAACAATGTAAATGTGGACAGACCTTGTTCGAATTGTGAACTTGTTCAGATAATCAAACAATAATATAATCCTGCGGCCAGTAAAATGGATTTACATACGTAATTGTACACTATTGTGGCAGCTTGGACGGACGGACGCAACGCGTATACCGAACAAATTGTTGCACTGGTGAAGTTCTTAACTTGTTTTCGAGAGGTACACGGTTCGAATCTCTGCAGCTTTACTTGATATCCTGATATTTTTTATTTATTTAGTGTTCTGTCTGACGACAGGTCCATATGAACAGGATCCTTCCATCCTTTTCTCGGACTGGGACCTGTTCATATACGTTTTTTGGCAGATGATCCAGAAGTGGTTTGCCATTGCCTTCTTCTGTGTGTGAATGGAGTAATTGTTGGGATGCCACGGAGGAAAACTCCGTGTTGCCTAGACCACGGCCTGGCCCAACACAAGTTATAAATTCGGGCACCACCGGGAATCGAACCCGAGACCCCAGGATTACAAGGACAAAGGATAAATTATCTTAAAGTGAAAGTAATTCTGTCTGTCAATAGACACTCTCGATTATTCGGGTTGGTTGGGACCCATGTTTTCCCGGATAATCGAAACCGCGGATAATCTGCGAAAATGAAAGAAAATCACGCAAATGTAACTTTTTTACAGACATACATTACTTAATTTTGTTAGGATTTACTAATAATAGGAAGACGTCTGCACAACATTTAAATACAGTATTGAAACATTACTGTTACAGAGTTAATAAACAAAAGTATACGTGTTTCAGCGTACGGTAATAGCGTTCTGTTGTCGTAAACTTCAGGATTTAGTAATAATTGATTAATGTTAATATGTTTAATAGTGTCATTTGTTGTTTTTACTTCTGCCTTTGTAAACGTTTCTTCACGAAAGATTTTCTAAATTAATTTTTAATTTCTTAAGATAGTGTAATTGCGTCATATTGTGAATATTATAACAATTATTTATTTTAATCCGTCTTATCACAATATTTAAAATTTCTTATAATTAAGATAATAAAATATCATTGATGTTCCATATCGATTGATCGATTTACATTTTGGAACATTTTACACAACATGTTTCAGTTTTTATAAAACCATCATCAGGTGTAAAATATCTACGAACTTAAAACTCAAATATGATTCCATTTGGTGATGTTTTCATTGCGTTTGTTTTTCATTTTTGGGCGGAGATGTTGTTTTTTCTTAAATTTTATTGGATGTACATATCGGTCTAAGATGTAGGAGTGATTGTTCCGATATGTCCAGAAGTACTACTGTCTTCATATAGGTGTGGTGATGATGGTTTTATAAAAACTGAAACATGTTGTGTAAAATGTTCCAAAATGTAAATCGATCAATCGATATGGAACATCAATGATATTTTATTATCTTAATTATAAGAAATTTTAAATATTGTGATAAGACGGATTAAAATGAATAATTGTTTTAATTTCTTTTTAAACCAGATTGACCCCGGTTAATCTGCCCCCGTATGATAGGCATTCTGCTCTCTCTCTTTCCTTCTTTTATGTTCGTCAAAATATTCAGATGTTATTCAGCGGTGTTCTTTGTGATCTAGAATTAACCAATTCAAATAACCGAATAATTTATCTACAAGCTCCAGCCCACTTCGCGTTAACTTCACGGTGC